AGACACAACAAGCATTCAAGTTAAAGCCTAAGACTTGGAAAAGACACTATAGTGCTAAAATGTCAGACAAGATCATCGAACACAGCTAAGAGGAAGAACACATTTTGAAACCAAAACTTCTGATCAACAAAAGAGGAAAAGACATGTACACAAACCTGCAACTGGGACATTAGCCTTTCCAGCATAAAAAGTCTTGGCCCTAACAACGTCAAGAGTGGTTACACCAAACAACTTCTTTTCATCATAGACACCAGCTTTCTTGAAAATCTCAGCAGCAATTGGAACAGTAGAGTTCACAGGGTTGCTAATCATATTAATAAGTGCCTGATTCAACAAAAGAGCAATTCTTAGAATGGCATGTGATCCAAATAACTCTGTTACGCAATATCGTAAAACAGGCGACAACAGGAAATGAGATCTTAGGCTTACATGTGGGCAATGTTCAGCGATAGCAATGCAGAGATTCTTCACAATACCAGCATTAATGTTGAAAAGATCGTCACGGGTCATACCGGGCTTCCTCGGTACACCAGCTGGAATGATAACAAGATCAGCTCCTTTAAGAGCTTTAGCCAACTCTTCATCACCCATATATCCAGCAACCTTTACAAAACCGAAATTGAATCCCCCATATGAATAACTAATACATCTCAATGAAATCAGAAACTATACACAGTATACGAAGCTAAGATGCATACATATGAGACAAACTTCAAGCCTATCTCGATGATTTCAAGTGAATAAATCTCATGTGGGAATCGAGAGAGTGTAAATCTGAAGGGATCAGAGGATTGTAGCATACCTCAGATCTGGTGTTGATGTGACCGACATCGGCGGCGACTCCGGGAGTGTTAGCGATATCGAAGAGAGAGAGACTGGAGACGAGAGGGTTAAGCTTCATGAGAAGAGAAAGAGGCTGACCAATTCCACCGGCGGCGCCAAGGATGGCGACTTTTCGTTGAGGAACGGATTCGGAAGAGAAGTTACGGCGGAGAAGCGATTGCTTCGCCGAGGAAGATGATCGGACGAGAATAGATCTGAACATTTTTTCTTGGGGAGGGAGGGATGAAATCTAGGGTTCGTGATCGAGAGAGAGATGCTTTTTGAAAATTTATGTGGTGATGAAAATGGCGAGACACTCGAGGATAGTTGAGTAGGAAGGAGATATTGTATTTGCTTTAAATGCAAAAATTTCGGTTCAATTCGGTTAAAATCGAATAAAATTGGACAATTTCGGATATATTCGTCTAATTCGATTCGATTCGGTTCGAAATTTTAAAAATATAATTGAATTTTGGTATATATTTTGGTTTTAATCGGTTTTGAAAAGACCGAAGAACCAAATTAAAACCAAACTGAAATTCGAATCAATTTAATATTAGGCCGATTGGTTCTGCTAAATTAACCGAACCAAAACCGAAAACCAATAAAGTTTATTCCGTTCGGATCGATTACTTCGGGTAAAAATCCCAGCAGTATTCCTTTTGATCTTATACATTTTGTAATTTTTCACATTTTGATTGATACCTTTACACATGATTATATAATCCAATTTACTCAGAATTAAGCGAACAATCATTATATTTAACCACAAAATAAAGCTCAAATTTATTCCATAGCGATCGGCACAAATATACAATTTCTTTTATTTTTATTTATTTATTAAGAGGTGAATATGAATAGTCATGTACAAAGTGTATAGCAAATACAAATCTTATATGAAATTTTATAGTAAAAGAGTTTGGCTTCGTCCTCTTCTTCTCAATTAATTTGCCCGCACCACCTCGTTTGCGCCGGACGAATCACCCAAGGTTATAAAAAAAAAAAGGCGACGTGGTTACAAATTTAGTGTGAATAAAAACGAGACAACACTAAGTTTAAAATGACCCAAAAAAGTCTTTCGTTTCTTTAAATCCAACACACAAGCTTAGTCAAATGTCACACAGCCATGGGATTTAGCAGGGGAGATTTAGCACCCACACGAGCCATTTAAAATGAATTCAAAATCTCTCTCACAAAAACTTAAAAAGGTTCCTTGAAACTAACACTTGGAATATCACCAAAGCACATAGATTTGTTATAATCTGAATCAACTAAGTTTTTTTGTCAAACATAAGAGAACAAGAAACACATTCTTCAAAAAATGGTCAGACTTCTATCATGTCTGGTTTTTGACATTAACAGATTATTAGAGCTTCACAAGTCTGCTTCGAATAGTGTATCAAGCTGCTAAAAGAACACATGTTTCACTTTTATAATCTATGAATCAGCCAGTCAAAAATGATTCACAAAGCAAAATCCTCTAGTGCCACTTTTATTATATTATGTCAAGTAGAAGATTCTGTAGGTAGGTAACCGTAAACCCAAACAAATGTAGCAAGACAAGACAAGTTCATGAATATTTTGTAGCAAAGTTTCACAAGAGCAAAGGAAAATTAACCAGTAAGGAAAAAAGTACACCACTATTATTGAAAATCTCACTACTCTGACAAACAAAAACCAATCTGCCAAACTATGTCTATGAGAGAAGAAGAAGAAAAAATACAGGAAGATATTATCCCTAGTCTAATCAGTCATTGAGCAACTAAGGCATTCAGAGGCCAAGGCACATTCAGTTCAAGTGC